TATATATTGTTTTATTAGTTTGGATGCTTTGTTGGTTTCATATCTTATAGCTTTTAGCTTTTGTCATCTTTTCTAACATACCGGTAATATTGATTTGTAATTGTTTGCAGTATGGATAGAGTGTTAACTTGTCTTGTTAACATGTCCTGAAATTTTTTCCAGTGCAACATTTATGTAATTGCATAACCCCAGCTGTTTACACCAATATATATTCAATCAAGTTTTCTGACTAAAAGATATCACATTTTACTTGGCAAAATGATAATATGGCACAGTCGAATTTTGCCTAATTTGGGAGAATTCTTCTCTGCTTCTAAATGATGTGTAGGGAAAAAGCTATGCACATATGTCAGAAAAAAGACAGAACAAAGAGATAGGCCCAACACACATGCAATCACAAAAATTCTGAATTATTTTGCGTGAGGCTGCAGGATTTTGTGAAGAGAATAAGAGCAAATGTCACCCAGAGGATGTGGTATATTGTAGGGACCCGGGGAATGGTGGAAATAGAATTTTTTCAACTTTTCTTGGGAAGGGGGATTGGGTCAAGTCAGGGGTGGCCCCTTATACTGGTGGACAGTGTAGTGTCTGATAGGAGAATTGATCTTATTCTCTTATTCTTAGTTTGTATATAGTTAATATTTTGAGCAAGTAAAAGTGTGCTTTTTAGAAGGTTCTGAATAAACTGGCCTTGAACTGCTTTCACTTATTCCCAAATACTTGTCTGAGGCTGGTAGCACGATAAAATCCTGGGGAACTCTAAAATTGTAACCCTAACAGCTTCCACTTAGATTGGTGGTCAGTATAGTGTCTTTTTGCATTGGGGGTCAATGGAGTATCCTTTACATTTGTGTTATGTGAAGAATCTCCTTACACAGGTGCTCAGTGAAGTGCTCCCTTTCATTGGTAGTCAGTGTTGTGCTCCCTTAAACTGATGGTTAGAGCAGTGTCCACTAACAATTGTGGTCAGTGTAGTGAGGCCTGACATTTGTAGTCAGTAGAGATGTGCCCTGTTATACTGGGGGTCAGTATAGTGTCCTTTACATTCTTGGTCTGTGCAAAGTCTACTTACATAGGTGCTCAGTGTAGAGCTCCCTTTCATTGGTGGTCAGTGTAGTGCTTGCTTAAATTGGTGGTCAGTGTAGTGACGCCTTGCATTTGTAGTCATTAGAGATGTGCCCTATTAAACTGGGGTCAGTATAGTGTCCCTTACATTCTTGGTCTGTGCAAAGTCTACGTACATAGGTGCTCAGTGTACTGCTCCCTCACATTGGTTTTTGGTGTAGTGCTTTATTACATTTGTAGTCAGTGGAGACTTGCCCCATTACATTGGGTTCAGTGTTACCAATGTAATCTTTTTTTCCATTGGCTGTCAGTGTAATGACCCCTTAAATGGGTGGCTTGTGTAGTGCATACTTCTATTGGTAGTCTGTGGAATTGTGAATTGCTGCCCTGTCCTAAAAATGTGCCTGGCTGTCCTTATGAACCAATGAGTTTACTACTTTTTAAGTCACTGATCTCGAACAAAATACAGGTCAGGAGTTATGTGTTCACATGCCACATGATTGTTGCAAGTGAGTGACCTACAAAGATTAGAGAAAAACATTTGACTAGCATTTTTTAGATGGAGGTCAGCAATGGCAACCTAAATAGTTTACTGAATTCAGACCACTTATACCCATGGCACGCTGAAACAGCAATTATACCCATGTCATGCCAAACCTCTACAAGCAGTCCAAAGGTGCATGAAGACAGGTTATTACAGTAACAAGCAAGAGCATGTTACTATGATCACCATATTGATGAGCTCATCTCTGTCATTATGCTTTCTTTTTCTATCAGTATTCTTCTTTTCAGCATATGAACTGATTGGCTCCTTAAGCTGCATCTTCCTCCCACACTCCGGCCCTGCTGTACAGGGACTGCAAGAGGTGGATACCAGGTCAAGTTCAGCACTTGCTTGCATTTTAAAATTCTTTTAATAGTGAATTATTGATTACAGAGCCAAACGTATCTGTGTCTTTTACTATATTTGCCTAGAGCTCAGCTTTATACTTCCACAAACCTTATACCAATTTCTATATATCTTAGGATAAAAGAAGAGAAAGCTTGAGTTCCATTCGAAACAAGCAAATTCTCTAGTCAGATACTAGCCAAAAGAACATTTTAAAAACTGTTTCAATTCAGCTAGTGGGTAGAGATTTACAAAAACAGTTTCCCTTTAAACTGCTTTATTCTATTTTACAGTTCAGAATAACTGCTACTTTATAGTGCTCTCTGGGGTAATATGTACTGCAGGTAATATAAGTAAAATATTCAGTTTAATTCTACCTGGCTTTTTTACTTGTAAACTGTCTATAACCTTTGCAACTTTCTATTTTTTACCTCTGTAGGGAGGATAAACAAAGCTTGTGTATAACTGACCAGAGCTCACAGTGGGAGGATATAAAGCTTCCTGAATCAATTCCCTCTCACAGTGGGCAAATATAAACCTTAGTGAATCAATAAATTGGAAGTAGGTCTCTTATTATATGGCCTTCCATCCATTGTTTTCTAAAACGAGCTCCTGTCTTTTTCACCTGTGAGAAGGCTCGGGTTTTCAAGCACACTGTGCCGGCAAATAGCAAAGCGAAATGTTTGAAACTATCAGAGAATAGCTTCAAAAACGAAATAGCGATGCATACATGTGCTTTTTTTCAAAAATGGTTCAGAACCTAAAGCAGAATTGTAGCCAAACAGCTAAATTCAAGGTTGAAATACAGTTATGTAAACTCTCTTACCCACCCAAAAAATTATAATTAATACAGTCGGACTTGTAATCCACGCACCTCTCCCAGACAGCATTGTCAGGTCCATGGCCTCATACTTCTCAATTAGAATACAAGAGATACAGGTTGGTCAAGGACAGGCCCTAGGCTGTGATTGAGTTGTGAAGGAGCATCACCACACTGTATTTCCACCTGTTGGTAAGTTAACTCTGTTAGACTGACATCACTTTGCAAAGCAGCAGAGTCTGGCTGTCTGAAAGTGTCCTTTTTCTCTTCCAGTCTCAGTGCTTCTATGCCACAGGACTCGAAGAGACTTATATAAAGTAAACTGAAGTAATTAAAGTGTATCAAAAGTCAATTATTGTTTTTAGTTTTGGATAGAGTGGGGAAGGGTTAGAACCCTGCCAGGGTTTTATTGACTATTTCAAAACAAAGCATGCTGCATATACTCCTCACAAGGTGGGTGTACGGCAAAACAATGGTACTGTGTAAATGCGTTATGTAGAAGAAGCCAGCATGCGAGGGCAAAGTCCAACTGGGTTATTCACAAAAGGGTGAAGAGTTTGGAGAAGGCAGGAGAAGTGAACAATCTAGGACAACATAGCTCAACTGGAAAGTGAGCTGAATTGGAGAATTTTTCCAAATCGGCTATTTGGCCTAGATTGTTTACTTCTCCTGCCTTCTCCACACTCTTCACCCTTTTGTGAATATCCCTGTAAGAGGTAGCATTTCCACTGTCAAGCAGCATCATGACTAACAACACGTTCTATTTGTTTTCATGAGGAATGTTTTCATAAAACTCTCTGTTCAAGCTTACTCACAGATATAGCAGGACTATATGAATGCTCTGATGGCTGGCATAGAAAGGTGATAGAATGCTGCCCTTTGAGAACATTAGTCTGGGGCAGACAGGATATAGATATGTGGTAATGGGGCTTTTAGCTTTGTTATAACAGAGCTCTCAGCCATCATAACACAATCTCCAAGGTCCCTATATGACTCCAACAAGCATTCAAGATAAAATAAAAGAAAGACACAAGTGAAAGTTTAAGAGGAGACAGTTCATTAAAACATAAGAGCACACAATGTATGTAAACATGTACAGCACAAGTTGAAGTATTTGCTAAGATTGTTCTTAGTGATCCAATTTCCTTAAATGGCTTCTAACCCCATTTTTCATCTTAGCTTTATATTTTTCTGGTATAGATTAAAAAAAGGCTATTATCTTCTCCCAGATGTTTGTTATCTTCTTAAGGTTTGATAATCCTTAAAATGCAATAACTTGGGGTTAAACCTAATAGCAAAGCCTGCGTGAGCTATCACAGGGGTTGGTCCATTATGGATTTGGAGGCATAACATAATTAGGCAGAGAAGAGGTATCTGAGAATAACTATGGACTGATGGTACCTCATGTGGAAAATATATATATATATATACACACACACACACACATACACACACTCTGTCTTTTTACTTCATACAGCTTTGTATAAAGCATGGGTTAGGGAAGAAAAGCCTAAAAGTGAACAGCTACCACATGTCCTATGAAAAAGCCAAGAATATTATAAATGCAGTTTTCTGGAAGTAACTAAATGTTTTTTTCCCCTAAAATTAAAACTGTTTACAAATAGTGAAAACAAATACACAATAAATCATTTAAAATTACCATTTCCATTCTTTATGGCAGTTCCTGGCAAAAAAAGAGTTGTTATACTAATCCTCCCCCTATGGCTTGTATCTCCTGCCTTTGTTTTGTTCAAGTGTTGCCGCCTCTGTTAGACTCTTTGGCATGCAATACTTACGGCAGTGTCAGATGCCTGTCTCCCGCCGTGTGCTGTGGTTTTATCCTTCAACCCCTACATCAATGCTAGTGACTGCTAGTGATGTAGGGGTTGGAGGATAGAAGCTTAGTACATGGTGGCGGAAGCAGGCATCTGACACTTGCAAAAGTGTCAAATGCTGTTGAGTCTGATGGAGGCTGCAGTACTGGAACGGAGGGAAGGTCGGAGAGATGAGTAACCAGAGAGGTGAGTATAATACCTCTTCTATTGCAAGGAACTTCCATTATCATTTTTTATGTGACTGACAGATTAAACTTGTAAATCTTTAAAAAAATAAATAAATGCCATTGACCTAAACACATTCTGTTTTCCCTTTAAGGAACCTTCAATGTTGGTTTCTTATACTAAGCCGAGGAAATTGAGCATATAGCAACGCACTGAATTCACTTACTGATGCCTCATCTGTCATCCTCCTATCTTCCTTTGGGATTTCCTTCAGGGATTTCTTGCTCATTGAAGTTCTTAGCTTGTTATCTGATACAAATTGTTGAATTTTCGAAAGAACTGAATTTCCCTTAGAGGATTCATTTCTGCTTCCACTGGGGGACAAGCTACGGGTTGGTATCAGTTGTCTTTGACTGCTGAAGTCTCCGATCTTGGCATCTGTAGAAGAGTTATTTGAACTGGAAGCCTTGATGGGAGAATGAAGGAGAGATGGATCTTCGGAACTTCTGCTATGAATATCCACTGGATGAGAAGACTCATAAAGTTCTGACAAATTTTGATCTGTTTTAGGGCTGGAGGTCCACTTGAAAATGTCTGCCTCCTGTTTATGAGAAAATTAAAACACATGTGACTTTATCATATTCAGTGTTCAATATTTTATTGCTAGGAACATAAAAACAAAATGTAACAACTTACATAAAATATTCATGAATTCTGTTTGTGGTGGGCTGCATGTATATGTAAGTGGGATTCGGGGGCAAAATAAAAGAATAGCTTTGTTGTGATCATGATTTCTTTTCAGAATGTGAAAAATCTTAGTTTTAAAGCTGACTCATTAATAAATGAGACATTTGCATGACATTACAAAATAAACAGCAAGATTATAATAAAACACCTCATACTGGGAGAATGATGTCTAGTCCATTGCAGAGTGGATACATGGATTTTCAGGTAAGGTGGGGGAAATTTTCCAATAAAGACAACAGTTCCGGTAACAACTGTCTAAGAGGCGGTTACCTCTCTCTTTGGAGATATTCCCTCTCATTTCTTGTTTTGTCTCCAGAACAGAACAGGAGAGAAATCACCTCAATAGGAAAAATACAGCAAAGAAATACATTATAGTTTCTTTTAATCAATTCCAACTATATCCGAAAATTTAAAATAGGCTTTGGATAGTGGTGACCTTGGCTTGGACCTTTGACCACAATTTGCCTGCTGTTTCTGTACCTTGCTCCCAAATCGTAGCGGACTTGTGTTACCTACCTAGGCTTTCATACTAACATCTGCCATGTAGGCTGCTGCCACTGTTGGACTATTAACTGCAAGCCACCAAATAACTGCTCTGCCAACATCTGAGAAGCATGGAGATACCAGCCCATTTTTGACCCATTGACATTGTTATCTGAGTGGTGACTGTGTTGCTTATGTGTTACTATGTTCCTTCTCTTCTTTCTTTTCTACAGAGAGGGTTGAAGGACTGGGCTTTCTTGAAGTAGAAAAACTTTCTGAACCGCTCTGAAGAAAAAAAGGCCTCCTCATCCCCTCCTATAAAGTCAGAAACACACCAACTATTGCAAAAGACACTTAAAAATAAGGATCACCGCTTGACACTATTGGGCTGTTTATGGTCATCTTTATCTAGCTTATATGTCTGTCAGTTTTTCTCAAAATGCTTGTGAAGTTCTATACTGTATAGTTCATCACATCCCTACACTGGCGGTCCGTGTAGTCATAATGAAAATAAAACGTTGATAAGTACATTTATGTTCACCCTGAAGAATGGCAGCCAGTGGATAGTCAGGGGACGTGATCCGTTACACCCCCTATGCAGTGAGCCCTTCAATCACATTATTCATGTCGCTTAAGACTGCAGCAGGGGCAGCACGGTGTGTGCAGACTAATGATGTTTTTATAGGCTCCTGTTCAGCATGAAAATCAAATTCTATCAATTATACTTTCTCACCTCTCAACCCACTGCCCACATCGCACGTTATGTAGGCCAAATGGAGATTTTCAGGCGCTATTAAGTGCGTAATAAGTCTCTCAAACATTACCAATTATGAATATCAAGGGATTTAGGTTCTGGTTTGTGCACCAGCCATCAGAATCTTATCGTACCAGAGTTTTAGCGAATGTGTGCTCATGATAAAATAGTGCCTTCCTTTTTCACATATTTATCTATTATACATCTCCAATAAGCGCTATTTGTATATGAAATGGTTACATAAAATGACCAGTTTGATTCTAGCGAAACAATAATCAATTTTTTAAAGCTCAACTAAGCTTTAAGTTTAAATCAGCTAAATACCACAGCCTTAAAAAGAAAAGCCTGTCCTCTACCAGCATACTGCAGAGGACCCTTGCTCTCTGTGTGGATCCATTGGTATCTCTGCATAGGTCTGTCATGCCCTTGCAGAACCAGACCCTTAGCTCTGCCCTTTCGCTACACACATTGTGTAGAGAGGCTCTTGGGGGTCAAGGCTGCAGCTAGCCAAGAGGAAGGTGTAGGTGGGGGGAAGGAGTGATACTACATGGGGAGCACACACCCTGGCATTTGATGCTAATAGGGTGCACTGCAATAAAGCTGGAAGCATATACAGTTTAACAGTATTGCACCACCCACAGGCACTCTTTAAGCCTTTACATGCACACAGAGGACACATCCTATCTGCCCAGGCCTTCACTTAATATTATAGGCAATTCAGTAGTGAATAGGATTCCCTATTTCTTTCTAATCGTAGAACACCATTTGGATATTTATTTATAATGCAGAAGTGTTTTCAAAATATGTTTAAACACTCACATGGCAGGTTTCTTGCTGTCCCTCATATAGAGAAAGTATGATTCATTCAAGTATTACTTCTAAGAAATTCTCATGACCACCAAGAAGATTAAGCGCCTGTTCACATCATAGCATTGCGTTAATCACACGATACCATGTGTTTAATATACGGCGCTATCGCAAAGTGCACCGAGCATGCATTACTGTTGCTAGGTGCGTCGCCTTGCCATTTGGTTGAATGACACCCCAACGCACCTCCTGGTGGCTGTGCGTTGCAGCGTAGCAGTGTGATGTGGATGGTTTGAGTGATATTTTCAGATATGGCTTTTTATATTGTTAGTATTTTGGATTTTATACGTTGGGCTATTGGAATCCAGCGGAGGAATTGGAAAAGGTTAGCGGTCGACCCAGAACAGTTGGTACATTTCTGTTTTTTAATTAAACATTTATTTTCATGTTTTGTTGCATCTCACTGTTGCTGATCCCCCACAGCCTTTAAGCAATCACTTCTTCTCTACATGCAATTCCGTGCTCCCAACATGGCATTTCTCATTATGAGTTTCCTGATGGTGACCACAGTGGATCGTGTATCAGGGTAACAACACAGGTAAACAGTTGGGAGACAGAGACTGACCAATGGCCATTCTGTAACAGGAAGTGGCTTCTCAAGGGCCTTCATGGCAGGATCATCAGGATCTTTATTGAAAGCTATTTATTTAAAAAAATTGGAAATTATTTTTGAAATTACATTAATATGTTAAAGCTAAACTCTGGGCAGATATAAAAGACAAAAATGAATGCAGCTCTTAAATCAATAGTACATCATTAAATGTATTAATTAAAATGCAAGTAGTGTAACTACTGTGCTTTGATCTGGTATTACCTTTTTCCAATCTCGGTATGGCAGGACTGGAGTGTGAGAGGAAGCAGCAGCACAAGACGCCAACCTGTTTATGTGCTGACAAGATGCATTTTGATAGGAAGATAAAGCAGAGTGATAGAGGAACTTATCACTTTGCTGCTTCTCCTTTCACTGCCCAATAACAGTCTGGGGAAGGTCAGAAAGACTGGGGCTACTATGGAAGTGGGTTGAAAGATTCTGGCCATCAGACTGAGGACATCAAAAAGTAAAAAGAGGGAAACCTCTAGACTAAAGCTAAATATTGCAGAATATGTGCTGGTTTGGTTGTTATGTTATCATTTAATGGGATATTCATTTGCATCTGATTATTTTGGCTGTAGTTCTGCTTTACAGCTTAAGTGAGAATTTAATGATCAGGTTTAGAAATACTTTAATAGTGTTATGTGCTATTAGCAGAAACTGACAGGCTTTAGATGACCTGTCCTTCCTGACTTTTAAGCTGAAGAGCCAGACGCAACGTAAGGTCTAACATAAGTAAACCTGCACCATTAAAATGTTGAATATTTGGATTCTAAACCATGTTAAGTCTGCTTCTCCATTATACTATCCACAGAGGTACAAACAAAAGAAAGACAATTCTAAAGTTTGATGAGCATTCTGCCAAAATAAAATGTGACCTTAAGTCCCGCTTTGACTGCAAGTACTGAACCAAAAGCAAATGTTCAAGCCCATTGCCATTCACTTTGTATTAGCCTAAATTAAAGGCAACAGATACGTTTCTGGAGGAAACCGGGAAACCGGCCTTTTGTTTGTGTAAACGCTCAGAAGATGTGACTTTCTCCTCAGCCAAGCAGAGCTGAACCTTTTAGCTCGTGCCAGAATTGTTTTGTGAAATAATAGAATGGCTTTGACAGAACAAAGCACCGAACAGCGGATAGCCCTTGGCTGAAATGTCATGGATTTAAGCATAAGGTCTACAGCCAACTTAATCATTCCATTTATGTGGGCGAAAGGCAGTCGCCTTCTCGCAGCAGATGGGACCCCCGTGCCTTAGAGGGAAGCCTTGTACACATCATACGAGAAACATGCATAATGTTGTCATTATATATTAATGTATACATCACGGTGAACTTTACATATATGTCAGACTGATGTTGATGCATGTTTATTATACCTGGGAGGATAAACATTATGAAACATAAATGAATCGACATTTATATTTGAAATCACAGCTGGTATTTTATCTCCCCTTTCAAGTTTTGACCCATGGCTTCAAATGCTTTTTATTTTAGTAAAACTTGGTGGCGCCCGCAAATGTTATTGTTTGCTGTGTTACCGAGGGCGTGTGATGCATTTCTATCAACCTAAATTTACGATCAATGATAAATGTAGATGCTCTTCTTTTTATGGGTGTCCTCAGAGAACTTCGCACTGCTGCCTTCCTCTTGTTAAAGGGAACTTGACGTTTTGTAGCAAGCAGCATATTGGCTTGGGGAGCGGAAGACAAGCACTTGGTTTTTTGTAAGGCCCATTCACATTTATGCGTTTCTGTAAATGTTTGTTTCACAGTGTGTTGCCACAACTTACAGTAAGGTGTAAACAGAGGTACATTGCTTTGCACTGCCATTCATTTTAAATGGCAACCATACACACTATTATAGTAGCAGGCAACACAGTGTAGTCCACCACTACACATATAGTATGTACACATATGTGTTACAGTTATCTATGTTAAAAAAGGGTTGCTGCCAGTCAATTGAAAAACAATAGAATGCTTCAAAGCCCAATTAAACATTCAGTTTATATCAACTAAACACATTCCAGGTGCTCTATTCCTTATAGTTTTCTTTCAAAAGCAACTACAGTGTAGAAAAGGCTTTCCCCTGTCAGAAGCTGCATAGTAAGAGTCTTGTTCTATGTGCGTAAGCTGTAGTCTCTCTGCTGAGGATCAACAGACGTACCAAAACCTGGAGAAGGGGGGCATCTTTGAGCCACTGAAATGTGGTGGCTGTTCTATGTTGCCATTTGTGAACCATTACTATTATTAAAAATGTTTGGACTCTGTTTGTTTGGCACGCTCAATTGACTTTATACACCCCCTGCTGAGTCAGACCAATAGCTCTGCAATCAGCAAAGCTCATGCTCCCAGTTGATTGAAGAGCTCTGGCTCAACAGGAGGCATTTTGGACCTCTGTAGAGAGACTTATGCTTCCACTGAGAAAGAACAAGGGTCCTGCTCTCTGACACACACTAGGAATGTATTTAACTAATTTAAACTAAAGTTTGATTGGGCTTTAACTCATCGAGGCTTAATGCACAGTTTGCTAACAGAGCACACAATGTAAATGGGGTTGAAGGTTTTAGTGAACTTACAAAATGTGCCAAAGAAAACCTGCCACCAGAGAAATACACAGGCTGCCACAGTTAACTGCACCTTCTGAAATTGCCGGTTCCCTGGTTGCCATGCTGGTCCTCCGGTTTCAATATCTTGTCAGTAACTGAACTGGAATGATTATGCCAATTAGTAGTTCTGATTTTGCTGCATGCTTGTTCCAGATCAGAATAGAAATAATGGGAGCCAAACCAAAAAGGTGAATAAGTCCAAGGATGCCTTTAATTATCTGTAATTTGGTCCATTCCATAATTCAATAACTTGATCATTCCATCATCGTTTGATCAAATTATGAATAATTTGGTTTGGCACTTATTATTTCTCTTCTTTGAGTTGCTTCCATGTACCCATCAAGGGAAGCATATTTGTTTGAGAGCTGCCTTACCACAGCCAGTGAGCTTTCTTGCAAACTTCCTTGTTTGCAAGCTCGTCTACCTGCATGTAAATAAGAAGAAATGTGGTATTTAAAAGATAGCAGTTGTCACAGGAGGTGGCTTTTGAGACATCAGACATGAGACATGTACAGTAAATAAGAAGAAATGTGGGATTTAAAAGATAGCAGTTGTCACAGGAGGTGGCTTTTGAGACATCAGAAGCTTTGAGTGCTATAACACAAGTAAGTTAATTGTGTCCAGAGTTCAGCTTTGAATTAAATATCAACCCATGCTGTATCCATGATATTCCTTTTCTATAGGTGCAACGTTATCATTTTAGAGCATGCAGAGGTCCCCGAATGACCCTTAATAAAGCAAAGGGAAGCATCTGGGTTAATATATATCGCCTTAGGGACCTTGAGCAGCTGCACCCCCTGTATGCCCCATATCTCAACAACCTGTAACTTCTGAGATTTCAAGGGATCTTGACAGACCTACCCTGAAAGTAAGCCCTAGCACTATCTTCAGGGATTTCTGCAATATAAGACCTACCCCGAAAATAAGACCTAGTTCGGGGTAGGTCTTATATTACAGAAATCCCTGAAGATAGCGCTAGGTCTTATTTTCGCGGTAGCTACAAATATAACTGAATTTTAAATGTAAAGACCAGCTGCAGTTCCCGCCCTGCCCATGTGCCAGCCCACACGACAGCCTGCCACAGTTCCGCCCACACGGCAGCCGCAGCTCCCGCCCACACGCCCCCCGCCCAATGGAAGTGGCATATCATCCGCCAACTTCGAAACTGGGACCGGCAACAGCACTTCGGCCTTACGGGACCTCGTCCAGTCCTGTGAGTACTCCTCCCCCAGCTAAGTGGTAAGACATCCCCCGAAAATAAGCTGTGTCTTTTTTCGTGCAAAAAAAAAAATAAGACGTGTTTTATTTTTGGGGAAACACTGCAGATTCCAATGCAGACACAAGGACCACTCTTCTATCAAAATCAGAGCCCTACCTGGTGATTCTGGTAGTAACACACTTTCTATCCTAGTGCGACAACGCTCACTCACTGTATTGTATGTGTGGAGAAGCAGCATTGTCATCTTAGCACAAGGCTACAGAAACCTCCCCTCTCCTCTTCTCCATAACATAGAGGAGAGGAGTTCCATATTTCTTAGAGATAACTGGGAACAATATAAGTAATAAGAATGCAGCACAGACAGAGCGCACTGGAAGCTGCAAATATTTCTGGCAAGTTATTTTTTTGCTTTTTTTGAAACAGATATAACAAACTTATTTCAATGGAATATTTAATGGACCAAAAGGGACCAAATGAGATAAGTTTATTGTAAGAGTGTTCATACCCTTTAGAACTGTAAAGGAAATTTGACCTAAAGCAGCACAAACATTTTCTATAAAAGGCAAATAAGTATATTTGGAGATTGAATCCAATGCATATTTCACTTCTAAGTATGTTTCTTTAAAAAACATTTGGAGTGACACTTTAAACTTTGTTCACACTATAGCAGTTGTAGGCAGTGAAGGACAGAGATCGTCTTTTAATCCATATAAATGTTAACTCTATGCACTTTTCACAAATCTCCACTCTGTAGTGAACGTCTTAATACTCAATTACATTAACTGGAATGGGTAACTGAGCCTCTGGTGAATATAAATACTGTGCTTTAATGATGATGTGCCTTGTGACCCCATCAATCCTCTCTACATAATTTAATAGCGTCTGAGAGATGGTAATGTATCATTAATGTAAAGGTGGCCATTGTTAATTGACGTGGAACTTTTCCGAGATGGAAAGTTGGCAGACCTGCCAAGAAAATCTGTTGGCTGCTAAGCTTTGCTTATGAAACGTGGGTAAAAGGGAACCCTCAGAACAATAAAATGGCACAATGAAAAGCAGCACTAATTAATCACACAAATTAGTTATTTTTATTCATCTAAAGGCCCAAAGGTAGGACAGGAATACATAATGAGGAAAAAAGCAATATGCAAAGTCCAATAACCCATAACAGTAGATGAGCAATAATTTTTTATGGTTCTTATTGTTTTAAACTGATAAAAAAATTAGAAATGGGATTGGCAGATATAGGTTGCAGAACTTTGAATATTATAACTGCTCTTTTTAATGACCTTTTTAAGGGGCCACAGACAGCAGTTGTGGGGTTGTTACTACTATCCAGGTTTCTGTTAGAGAGATTTTCCGAGACAATTCCAGGAGTGTAAATCTTCTAGATCTCTGCAGCTCTCACTGGTTCCACCTTGTTTACGTGAAATTTACAGAGACGTAGGTGCAACAATCATTCTCATATATTATACTGCAATTATTACTTCTATTCCTAGGTTGTAGTATTTAAAGGAGTACTCCAGGATTTTTTAAATTAACCATTGCAGTGGAGCTACCCCCACACTGCAAGTGTTAACTGCTCATTTTGGTCTAGGGGTGAAAATAAAGAGGAAATGCTCACCCGATCTTTGGTCCTGCAGCAGTGACTGCTCACCTCTCTATCCCTCCGCTCTAGCTGTGGTATGCCTTTGGCTTCCTCATGTCTAATGGATTGCATTAGACATGATAGCATCACAGGTTCTTAGACCGCTGAGAGTACATACATATTTATACAAGTGCACAGACCGAACCCACCTACATATGAGTGGACAGAGAAAGATCAAAAAGCTCAAAGTACTATATCCGTGGGCACAGATTGATCAAATTGTGTACATATGAAAGTATGAAAAACCAAAAGAAGTGTGGTAGGAGCTAAAGAAAGTACACGAAAGAGAAAATCTTAGCAATGAACTAAAATTTACCAACAATAACCAATAAGCAAAATATGGTCTCAGAGGGAATATTGGAAGGTTATCTACAATGCCCTCTATTCCAAACAGTCACCAGAAAGATACCTATCAAAAATGTACTCTAGTGTAAGTGCCTACTCTTGAAAGTAACCTCCTGTCATTGAAGAAGCTCACCAGGCAAGGATATGTTGAGATATTTAGAGGTACTAGCTTTATTCAATTGTGTACTCAAGCTATTCTGAGGAAGCATGGAATCATGTTGTAGTACCATACAGTCCAGTACAAAATGGTGTTACTGAAAGCATGAACCACACTTTATTTGAAAGTGGCAGAAAAATTACTTTAATGCACATATGCCAACAACATTTTAGAAAGAGGCAATTATGACAGTCTCCAACCTCCAAAATCGCCCACCTAAAAAAGCAACCAAGAAAACTCCATGTGAGCTATGGGATGGAAAGAAGCCTGACCTGAAACACATTACAGTGTTTGGTGGTAATGCATATGTACATGTTCCTAAAAAAAAGTGTTCAAAATGGGAGCCTTGGGATAAGGAAGGTATTTTTGTCGGATACATTAGGTCTCACACGTTTATCAATCGAAGAGATGCCATGTCACCTCCCTACAGATGTGTAAGTAAACCCCAGCAAAGAGAATAGAATGCTGTTAACGCTAACTAAAACAGATTTAGGACATGAACATAATCTGTGAATGGTGACCCAGAACTCATAAGATGAGTGGCCTCAGATTGTGTAGGTGATCCCATTACTCAAAAATCTACAAGTGATTACTTGTTCCAGTTAGGCAACATCCCAATATCCTGGTATAGCAAAAAGCAAATCTTAGTCGCATTATCTTCTACAGAAGCTGAACTCATCTCAGCAGCTTATTAAGTCAATTTGTTGTGGATCTACTCAGGGCCTGATTTACTCTCCCTGCTGCCCCAAGGCCGGGTTCCTCAATGCGCCCCCCCCCCAATAAAGAATTTGTATTTATCTTATCATCTTTCACTTTTGTTGTTTTTTTTTTTTACGACGTGACCTGTCTTCTAAGTCTGCCACTTTCGTTTGCAGCCAGGTAATGTCATCCTCCCGATCATTATGCGCATCCACCAGCTCGTTAAAGGTATCTGCAAAGTCCCCCATCTTATCCTCAATATGGGTGACCCTCTCCCCCACTTCCTGTAGGTCAGATGAGAACTGGTGGACAAGGGCCTGCATATCTGAATTGAGTGAGCTCCTCAGGGACACCAGCATATCTTTAAGGGTGGTGTCTGACAGGGGCTGGTTAGCTGTGGGGTAATTTTCAATAGGAGCAAATAGTTCCCTTGTATCGTCCAAGTCCCTGTGTGATAGCATTTGAAGGTGACAGGTTCTCTTTATTGAACCTGTCACTTCCAATCAGGGCAGCCGTCAGAAATTTTGGGGCCCCAACCCACACTGCCCAGAGCCGACATCCTCTCAGCAGCACTACGGACAGAGTCACCTCTCTCCGTTCACAGTATTCCTCTCCGGTGGATGAACCTCCCCAGTCAGCACACCAACTGGATTCAGACAGACACCACGAGGGTCCCGATCCTCCCCACAGGCCGTCCATCTCCTGATCCCTGGACTCACATGTAAGTGCTATCACATTGATTCTTTACCATTACATTGATTCCCTGTTATATATATATATTTCAGTCCAACTAGCTAGTGCTCCATTGTTGTATTCGCTGTTGCTCCCCTCGTGTTCCTTTGTAGATGTAGAAAAAAACTACCCGCCCGGTGGCTGTGCTGCCCCTCTACTCCCTGCTGCGTGAGCCTTGTGGGAAATCCGGCCCTGGGCTGCAACAGACTCAGGATATCAAACTTTGTGGTATGATTTTTCATGAAAGGAGCAATGTTCACTATTTTGGATGATGGGGAGGTAAGTATTTACACTCTTATAATTTTCCTGGGAAAGTTTAGTTAGAGGGTCACTTTAATGCTGGGCAATGACAAATGACCTGAACCCCTTACCTAGGTAGTATTCATAGTTTTTTTTCTTAAGTTGCCGCTGTAAGTACAATTCTTTCCTTGAATTTTCTCTGAGGACATCATCCACAGCTGCTCAGATTTTCTCAGCCTTTCTTCAGTGGGGGAAGCGATCAGTAGATGTCCTACACTTAGGGTGCACCTTCAGAAGCTACAATACCCAAAGGTCCTAACCATAAATCTAAATTCTGGGCTGGCTCTTGGGAGTGTTGCAATGAGTTGAGACCAGACCAAAGAAGCTCTGCCAATCATTTTAGTTAAGCGGGGAAAGATGGACTCACAGTGATGAGTGGAATTCCAAGATAAAACAGCACTGACATAATGTCAGCACTGCCTGGGAAATGTGAAGGCAGCTAAGAGACCAGTCTCCCTGTGCATAGGTAGGGTATATACAGGGGCGTATTTACTGTGAGGCAAACTAGGCGTTTGCCTAGGGCGGCACCCACCCTCCCGCGGTACGCAAACGTCTAGTGCTGCGGCGCCAAGAAGTGGGGGGACCTGGAGGATCTGGCGGGGACGGCGGTTTACCTGTATGTACGGGGGGGGGGGGGGGGGGGTGCGATGCCTGATGCAGAAGCGGCGGCACGCAATATATGTCTCCGCCGGGGGAGGTGCTGACGGTCACTCGGCGGAATGTCAGTCCGACGGGGAGAAGGAGGGGCGGCGCTGCTGTCTTGCCTAGGGCAGCGGGAAATGTAAATACGCTGCTGGGTATATATGTGCCAATGTTAAACTTAAAAGGATGTAGTTTGTTTCTAAAACAAAACAAAGTTTTCAATAAGGTTCTTTTTAAACTTTATTTTTTCAGCATTTGCTGTGTAGTAGAGTACAGTATTATTATATGTAGCTGGCCACTTAATTCTAAAAGACGGCTGACTGCACAGTAATTCAGCAGGATTACTGAAGAGAAAATCAGCTTTCTGCAGAAATTATATTTCCCCAAATTCATAGCTTCAGCTCAAATACCTTCAAGGGCGGTACTGAAAAAGACACAGCTCTCTATGAATGAATCTGGTTAGCAGGAGATTTTGCTTTTGATGGGAAACCAAACACACGGACTGACAAGGGCCTCAGTTGTAGCATACGTTAAATTGGCAGGGAAGCATTAGCTGAATTTTCACACGGTGGTTAGAATTTACTGGGGTTTATTTATTTATTATTGGTATTTATATAGCGCCAACCATTTACGCAGTGCTTTATACAGTGCACATTCACATCAGTCCCTGCTCTCAAGGTGTTGACAATCTAAGTTCCTTATATCACATGAATATATATGAGGGCCAATTTTTAGACAGGAGCCAATTAACCTTCCAGCATGTCTTTGGAATGGTATATCTACATCTCTATGAAAGTCGTAATATTCCTATGTACAGGCATCTATCAAGGCAGCCTAAACATAGGAAAATACTATTTGTGTTTCTGAAGAACTGCTACAATTAGATTGAAGAAAAGATGAACACTTCGGAAACAAATAGAATTGCCCAGTTTTATTGGATATATCGAAAGGCCAACCATCACATACAAATGAAATCACCAAAGACTGGGAGCTTTGGTAAGGCTTTTTTCTTTCCTGACACATCGACTTTATTCAAATCAATCATTCTGTATTGAAAAATTTCCATATAAATTAATCTTCAAAAAGAAGCTCTGAAATGTTCAAGCTTGGCCAATTGACTTTGCCTACTATGTTTATAGGCTGAAGTCATATACTACAGTTGTTTGTCTACATACATTCATGATCAGACATTTTAAACACTGCAATCATTTTTTAGTTTTAAGGAGTTTTAACAGCAGTACAACCCATGCAGGGTAAATGAAAAACAGAAACAACAGGATATATTCCATCCAAATAACTCAAATAAAACAAAAGAAAAAAACATCCTTTGAGGTACTCTACAGCAGACTATAGCATACCTTCCAACTTTCTGAGATGAGAAAGTGGGCCACTTTTTTAGAATGACAAACTAGTATGTAGGGAAAGCACCCCCCACCCCCTCAGTTACGTGGACCAGAAAAAAATATTAAAGAAGAACCCTGGACATGTGAAATCTTAACCTTCAAACCTTCCATGCTATCAAGGCTAGTTATATATTGTGCATGGCCATTTATGTTTAGCTTGGCTGTATTTGGCGTGGTGACACACTGGAGGCTTCAGCATACATTTAGAAGTGCTGGCCCTCCAGTGCATCCCTGTGCCTTTAAGGAGGAATGGGGCACCTCCAGGCATACCTGCATTTAATTCACCTACTGCTAAATATGCTCCAATATGGGGACTCTCAAAAATTTAGAGTTAGGACCACATAACATAGAGGAGCCTTGACGTGCCAGTGTTGGACAATACAATTTGTTTTGTTAAAGGCTAGCCGGTAAGTGTGCTGAGAATTTTTGTGTTGTGTATTGTTTTAAGCCCTTACATGTGCACCTTGCTATCAAGGCTAGTTATAAATTGTGCGGTTGCCATTTTTGTTTAATATAATATCTTAGCCCTTGCAGTGGGGCTACCCTCGCATTGCAAGGGTTAAGTGCTTGTTTTATCTAAGGAGCTAAAATAACAGTTATACTCGCCTAACCTCGGATCCTACTGGCTGGTAAACCACCATTCCCTGCAGCCTCTCTCTCCCTTCGCTCCGGCAGTGTCATGTCCCTCAGCATATACTGTATTGGACGTGAGGATGCTGAGGGACATTACGCTGTCGGAGCGGAGGGGAAGTAAGACTGCATGGACTGGTCTAGCAGCGAGGTTCGGGTGAGTATATCTTTGTAATTTTGGCTCCCTAGATAAAAAGAGCACCTAACTCTTGCAGTGCGGGGTTACCCCCACTGCAAGGGTTAGGATTTCATATGCCCAAGGTTCTTCTTTAAGCAAAACATTTGTCACCAATACTTTTCTTTTTACTGGCTTTTCAAAATGACAAATGCAGGAATTTTGAGGTTGAAATAATAGTTCAATGCAGTATAACACTTTGGTAGTTAAATAATACATTTATTTGGAGATGTCCATACATCAGACCAAAAAACTACTGAGGAGGAAAGAGAACAATGGGACTTCCAAATCAGGAACACTTGGGAGCTATGGACTAGGGGTCTACTGTACTTTAAGGTCACCTTAAAGAGCATTACAGACAAATGCCAGGCAAAATATCGCCTTTGGTAATAAATATGCTATGTAAACAATGTAACACCTGTGTCTGCTTTTCGGTTTCAAATAAACTATTGGCAGCTGAACTTCTGTTTCACACCAATTTGTTGGCCTACAACAGCGCCTCTGTGCACCAAGGTGCTTTATCTGTGGTCACAGCCAACCATTTTACACAATGCAGTTTCATAAATATAAAAATGTTGTATCTGTTACTAGTGAGCTTTATCCTTTAAACAGAAACCTCAAGCAAAAAGGAAATATCAGCCTGTGAACTGCTAACTGGAATTGAGCTAAAGTGGTTAAGTCTTTTCAAGGTATCTTAATTATGACCCAAGACGCTGCCCTGCCCTGTAACTTGTAAGTACCTTAACTATTACCAAAAATGTATCTTATTTGTGTATCATTCAGCTGTAGATCCTCAAATCATCTCTGAATTGGTGCTGATAGTGTCCGTCTGGAGGGGGGCTACTTTTGTTCCCCATCGTCCCTGTGTGCGTTGTAAAGTAGTCACCACTCCAAGCTCACCCCCGTGATGGACTACAATCTCAATACAAATTAGTAAACAAAAAACATGAGATTGTAGTCTATCACGGGGCGAACTTGGAGCTGTGCCTACTTTACAACACACACAGAGACCATAAAGAATAAAAGTAGCCACACTCCAGAAGGAAGGACAGTGTCAGCACCAATTCAGAGATGATTGGAGGATCTATAGCCGAGTGATTCACAAATAAGATTTTTGTTAATAGCTAAGGCACTTGAATGCAGTTGTAAGATTTAAATCCTGAGTTTAGCGTCACTTTAAGGAAATTACATGGGGCACCCTCTTGGATCTCTCCTCCTCTTGGATCTCTGACATCACAAAAATCCCAGAGGGAGATTTAAAGTACATCTAGGGGCTACTATATGACATTTTAAACAAATCCAGTTACTATATGATGCACAAGCCTCCTAAAGTAAACAAAAACTTTCTTTACCTCTCCTTAGTGAGCCAAATCCTCCTTCATGTGTCTCACAGACACTGCAGCTCACAATGGGAGGGTTTCAGCAACAGAGGTAATGCTGTCATACAGAAAGCAGTGGGCAAGACTAGGCGTCACCAGATTATACAGGCTTGTGAATCAGCAATGGCAATGTTGACAGCCACGTCCCCTGCAACATTTTTTAGTTGCAGCCTATATGAGAGTGGCAAATCCGCTCTGAATTTTGGAGCAGAGAAGCAAAATTGTCCACCCCAGCACAGGAAGCTTCAACAGGTGGGCTTCACTGGCAGAATCAACATGCATTTGTGAGATTTCACAGGAAGACTATGGGAATATTTTCAGTGCACATGGAGGTACAATTAAGTCCTGCAGCACATGTTTTTTTCTTGTGGAGGACTAGAGATCTATATAAAATTATACAGAATTGATCTTCACTTTTCCTAAAAAGTCAAGCCTGAT